TAATTGGTTAGGTGTTAAGTGGTTCATTTATTGCTCTTCCTACCGGGTGTGATGTCACTGATATCTTGGAGGTCTCCCTCAGATTCCAGCGCCATCCTGTTAATGAGGGTGTTAGTCGATGTCAAGGGGAAACTCCCTAGCGGCCATTTTAGGTAAATCACGTATAAGGTTGAATAATGCTGATTGTGGTTATGCTGAGTGAATAGGCATTTTATTAATATGAATTGAGTTAATATTTTTGTCCACAACATGTTTAACCAAATATTATCTTTAAAAAAAATTTGATTAAGGTGAAACTAAGTATTGAAGTATGTTCAGGATTAGTGACACTGAATTTAGTGACATGGAATCCAACAACTACAACTGTCCAAGCATTACTTTTCAGTCCAGGTCTGGATATGTGGACAGACTGTCAGGAAGGACCTGAACCAGGACTGATCCTAGGGTCACAGACTTCTGGGTGCAGAATTTTTTTGCTTCCCCCAGCTGGCTGCAGTCATCTTACTATTTCTCCTCCCCTTTGCAAATAAACAATCTAGACATACATGTTTCTATAACAACAACTCCACCTCTCCATCTATAAGCCTCACCCTTTTTGTAATCAGAAACATGCTCACTGACAGTCACACACTCTTACTGACAGACAGACACCCACACACTGACAGACACTCTAAATAACAGACAAACACACACATTCACTGATTTGACACACACTCACTCACAGTCACACACTCTCACTGAGAGACATACACTCTCTCAGAGAGACACACACAAACTCACTGATTTGACACACACTGACAGACACACTGACACACTCACAATGACAGACACATATCACTGATTTGAAACACTCACTGACAGACAAAAATGCTGACAGATATACACATACACACTGACAGACACACTTAACAACATACACACACATTGACATACACTCTAAATGATGAACACACTCTCAGTGACAAAGACACACACTCTCAGTGGTTTAAAACACTTACTGACAGACACTCACTGGCAGACATACACACACTGACAGACAGGGCCAGCCTTAGATTGTTAGTTGCCTTGTGCAAAAAATCCTCCCTGTCCACACCATTTCCCTTGCCCTGTTAAGGGGGAAAACGTATTGCAACATCTAGGCCAAAACAATATGTCTTGGACAATATATCTGATCTGAAACTAAATTACTTTAATATTTGTTCCAGTTCAGCTGTTTTGGAATAGGTCAGTCCTTACCATGCCAATAGATTAGAATAATTGTGTGGTACTTCACACCGCCTCAACCTCTTGTGCATTTGTCCTGATTCTCCTTGAATGTCTATCCTAATTCCCTCTTTCCTTTTACCATCTTGTCTCTTAACCAACTGTTACTTCTTGTATATCTCTTAACCCCTTTTAAAACCTTTTTTGACACATACACATATGGACATAACCATAATCACAAACTGAACACATTATTATTGAATAAATCACACAAAAAAAACATTTCTTTTAAATGATATAAAAAGCAAAAAGTAAAAAAAACAAGAAAAACATGGTGCTCCAAACTAAGGAGGTGACCACATCTCCAGATATATGTGATACACAAAACAAGGAAGTCTAGCCCTCTGTGTTCTAAATCACAACACACATGATCACACAATTACACGCACACAACCCCATGCATACCTAGACAGTCACACACAATACAAAGCACACATTCACACAGACATATGGACAGCATATCGGTCACAAAAATACAGGCACCTACTTACAAAATATAAGTAACAACCGTCACTCACAGTCACATACACCCAGTCCTTGCTGTCTTGAGCATTCGGAGGAGAAGAGGAAGCCAGGGTCCCTGGTGTCTAGTGTCGGGGAGGCAAGCATAATATATTTCCATATTTTAGTTTGTTACATATATACAGTGATGTATGTACCCAAGATGCACATTAATACTATCTCATACATACATAGAAATGCACACATTCACATACATATACTGACACGCGCTATCACATACATAGGCACATACCAACATATAAAGTCACATACATACAGATTATTTATCAAAGTGAGAAGTGTCAAGAATTCAAAGTGGATTTCATATTTAAGGCTTTGTTTTAGTGAATGTCAGACATGAACTAACACACACCATCACAGTCATCACAGACACACATCATCATGTACACAGACACATCAAAACACAGTCACAGACATACACACATTAACACATTTACAAAAAAGATGCACATACATTAAAAGATGCACAAATTCCCATACATAGACACACAACACACAGACATGGACAGAAAATCACAAACACAGTCATATACATACATATGTACACGATAGCAGGTACAGAGTCACCCACACAGACTGCTTATACATATATCAGGTTGATGGGTGAGTTAATTAAATTAAGGTCAAGGTGTTATTATGTAACATGGTAGGTAGGTACACCACCTACACTCAGCAGCTTCTTTGCCAGCCACATATTGGGAGAGTTTCTTGGACTGGGAGCTTGTCAAGCCTGCATTTTAAAGCAACCACTCACTCTCCTGAGTCCTACCTTATTCCAAGGTGCCATGCACTTTCCTGCAGCATGCCCTCATTCCAGTGCTTGGTCACAAACACCCCCTCTGTACCTGGTGGTCTGGTGGTATTCCTCTATCAATTCTTTGTAAATAGGAGGAAGCACACATCATTTTGGTGATCAGATCAAAATATCCACTCCTTCAAGGTTCTGGCGGACAATGTTGAGACAGTGCACAGGCTAGAAATCCCTGAGGTTGCACTCTGACTTAACATTGAGCACTGAAACCGCTAGGGAGAGGAAATGATCTGACTGCAACTCCTGCTGGTATTCAACATTGGACCATCAGGGATTCATTAAATTTAGTATGGTGGTGTCCCTAACTTGCAAGCTGTGTTGGCCACAGGGTGTACCTGTTGTCATGGTGCCCTGTATGACCGCATAGCTTGCACACCCCAACGGTTGGCTCTACTGACAGACACACACATAAACACTTACTGACTTACTGACAGACACACTGGCTTCCACTTTCAATGACAGACACACATTCTCACTGATTTGAAACACACTCACTGACAGACACACTTAATGACAGACACACACACACACTGACAGACACACTTACTAACTGACAGACACACTTATTGACTGACACACACACTGACAGACACACACACACACACACACTGACAGACACACTTACTGACAGACACTCACATATTTACATATTCATACTCACACACTCTCAAATTAATTTTATTTTGTGTTGATTTTTTTTTGGGTTTAGACCTATCAGGCCTCCCTACCTTCAGGAGTTCTCAGGATCTTTTGTCTTGGGTCCAGTGATTTTCCTGCTCCCTTGCACTGTTTATTAAAGCCTGGACTGCAATGATGTTATAGTGAAAAAAGTGCTCTCTATCTAATAAAGCAGCTATTCACCAACAAGGCATTCCTTTTACCTTCTGAACAATAGAATAAAACACGCTAGTAAATAAGGTGGACAGCGGTAAAAATTATTATAATAAAATCCTACATACAAAAGTAGCAGCAGATTTCGCAATTATGTTTCTTACTCTTAAAAAAGGGGCAATAGAAGTACAATGATAGTGCAGTATGTTATGAATAATATGGTGATAAAGATATATTCCAAAGGGGCTCTCACGTTTTCCAGAGCTTAAAAAGCTCTATTTTAGGAGCCTGGACGGAACAATCCCCGTCTAAGGATTTCTTTTTGCTGGTATCAGATTCCCAAGGTAGTGCGGTTCATCATCAAAAAAATAAGGATGTATACCAATGGTACAGTACGTATGTAAAAGTAGAATAAGTAAATAATATTAGACCTACTTACATTTTCTAGAGGAATGACCTGCTCTAGTATATGGAGCTTTAGGTGGAACAATCCCCACCTAGGGATATATGCAGGGCCGGACTGGCCCACCGGGATACCGGGAAATTTCCCGGTGGGCCGTGGCACCTGGGGCTGGGCTGCGCACATGGGTGCCACCGGGTGGCTGGTCAGGTGGCACTCAGAGGGGGCTGGCCGCGTTCCAGGCTGGAGCTGCCGGGCCGGGTGGCACTCCAGTCACTGCTGTGGCTGAGGGCTGAAGGAGGAGGAGCCTCGAGGGAGCATGGTAGACAGGCTCCTCCTCCTTCAGACACCAGTGCCGCTGGACCAGCGAAGCTGCCACCCGGCCCGGCGGCTCCAGCCTGGAACGCGGCCGGCCCCCTGCCTTCTCTAAGGTAAATGGGGGGATGGGGAGGGGAGAGACAGAGAAAGGGGGGGCAGAGATGGTGATGGGGGGATGGGGAGGGGAGAGACAGAGAAAGAGATGGTGAGATGGTGAGGGGAATAGAGAGATGATGGAGGGGGGAGGGAGAGAGATGGGGAGAGGGGAGAGACACAGGGGAAGGGGGGAGGGAGAGAGATGGGGAGAGACACAGGGAAAGGGGGGGAGAGATGGGTTGGAGGGAGAGAGAGATGGGGAAAGGGGAGAGACACAGGGAAAGAGGGGGGAGATGGGTTGGAGGGAGAGACACAGGGAAAGGGGGGAGGGAGAGAGATGGGGAGGAGGGAGAGACACAGGGAAAGGGGGTGAAAGAGACAGAGGGGGAAGAGAGACACAAAGAGGGAGAAATGAGAGAGACACACAAGGGGAGGGGAAGAAAGAGGCAGAGGGGGAAGAGGGAGACTGGGAAGGAGAGGGGAGATGCTGAAAGGGAGGGGGGAGAGATGGGGAGAGACAGAGAAAGGAGGGGTGATATGGTGAGGGGGAATAGAGAGATGGTGAGGGGAGGGAGAGATGGGGAGAGGGAGAGACACAGGGAAAGGGAGGGAGGAGAGATGGGGAGAGGAGCACAGGGAAGGGGGGGAGATGGGTTGGAGGGAGAGAGAGATGGGGAAAATGGGGGGAGATGGGTTGGAGGGAGAGACACAGGGAAAGGAGGGAGAGAGATGGGGAGGAAGGAGAGACACAGGGAAAGGGGGTGAAAGAGGCAGAGGGGGAAGAGAGACACAAAGAGGGAGAAATGAGAGAGACACACAAGTGGAGGGGAAGAAAGAGGCAGAGGGGGAAGAGAGAGACTGGGAAGGAGAGAGGAGACATTGACACAGAGGAGCAGAGGAGGAGAAAGAGAGGACCCGGGGCAATGCTCCGGCTCTCACGAGGTGAACTCTAGCCCTGGAGCTACGGGCTAGAGTTCACTTTCACCACTTCCTGGTGGTCGCAGTAGTAGGGTTGAACTCTAGCCCCATACACACACTGCCAACACACACACCATACACATTCACACACTGCCCCCACACACACACATTCACACACTGCCCCCCACACACTGAACCTTTCACACAAATTGCACCCCTCACACATTGCACCACTGCTCCTATACCCTACTACAGCCCCATATCCCAGCAGACTCCAGGTAAGTTGTCAAACTGTTCT